GGAACAAGATAGGGGTGGGCCAAATACGTCACGGGCCTCGGAACCACATCGACGAGCCCAAAGCCCACCTACTCGCCGACTGGGGGGGGCTACTGTTGGGCATGGGCTTCAACAATAGTCATTTTAGAAGCCCATTTCCGGAGAAGCCTAGCAGGCAGAAGCCCGACGAGCTCGGCCCAGAGGATGGGAGCCCAACGAGCCCACCTTATTCTCTCCACTTATTAGTATAAATAGAGGTCCCCATCCCATGATTTAGATATATTTTTTTGATTTGAGGACAAGCATAAAAGAATTTGAGAGCTAAAAACAAACATTCTCTGACACCAAAAAGGAAAAAATCTCCTGATCGAGTTCGACCGATCAAGAAATATAAGAACTGTTCACTGAAAAACTTAGCAGAGTTTATACTCGTCATCTAGTTCCGACCTCAAATACTCATTCAACGACCTCATATCTTTCAAACTCGATACATAGTCCTCTCTACCACGTACAATATAATTTGCTGTAATCTGCTTCCGAGTTAGCATCATTAAACGGAAATTTCCGATCCTTTACCGAACACAAATTTATTATCGAACACTTGGATCAACAGTTTCTAAAGCTGATGGGTAAAGTCAATCTCTTTTCTTTCTCCTCTCAGGTTTTGGAATCCATCTGCAAGAAAAAAAAAACAAAATTTTTACTTGTTCTTCTTGTTTCAGTTCTGCTGTTTTTGAGATGGGTAATACGAAAGTAATTGCAGCTGTTTATGGTCCAAGAGAGGTACTTTGTTTACTCATTCTCTGACATATCAAGATTGATGATTTATTGGTATCGAATTATGCGAATTGGTATATTTTTGTTGTGTGTTTAATTGTATCTTTGTGCTTCTCAGATTCAAAACAAGAGCCAACAACAAAAGCATGATCGTGCATTGGTATGTATACGTTTTGATCTTGTTTTTGGTATCCTTGTTGGCAAAAAGCTTTGTGAATTCGAAATGCTTTTGGCATCTTTGGTTTATGCGAATTTGTATATTTTGTTGGTAGGTGTTGTGTGAGTATAGTATGGCTCAGTTTAGTACTGGTGATCGTAGAAGACAGAAACAAGACAGGTTAGATTTACATATATCTAAAAGACTCTCGCTTGTTCTTGCAAAAACCGCCTGGTCTTGAAAATTGAATTGTTGTCAGGCGAACAACAGAGCTATCGTTAGTCATCCGTCAGACAATGGAAGCGTGCATATTAACGGAATTGATGCCTCATTCTCAGGTTTATCATTTACACTCCGAGGAACTTGAAACCAAACTATTCAAATGTGCATTGCATTTGCTAACCATGGTTTGAATCCGTAGTCAATGATAGATTGTTTCTTTTATTATGCATATTGATATTTTCCTTCAAGTTCTACAAGCTGATGGAGGTAAAGAAATAACTAAATCTCTGTTACTCAAGTTTTTAAATCCGCACTTTTTAATCTCTGGATCAGCTGTTAATGTTATGTTCTGTAATCAGGAACACGATCAGCGTGTATCAATGCCGCGACTCTAGCTCTTGCAGACGCTGGAATTCCAATGCGTGACCTTGCTGTCTCCTGTAGTGCTGGATACTTAAACAGTACTCCTCTTCTCGGTAATTACTCATTTTAATACATTCATTAGCACAAGATTTTTTCCGCTTTTCAGAGTTAAGAGCTAATGAAATTTCCATATCAGATCTTAACTATGTCGAAGATAGCGCTGGAGGAGCTGATGTGACTGTCGGTATTCTACCTAAAACAGACAAAGTTACACTCCTTCAGGTAGAATACCGAAGAGCATTGTTTGTTTTCTAAATCCTTGCTTTTCTTTTTCCACCATTGAAGAGCATTGTTTGTTTTCTAAATCCTTGGTTCTTCTGCTATTGAAGGTACTTGAAGAAAACACCAAACAGCTAGAGTATCGTCGAGCTGCATAATCTTTTGGGGAAAGAGAAAAACAAAAATGTCTAAGATTTTAGTCAATGTGTTCGTTAAATTTTGCTGCTGATTTTTGGAAGTTGAGTATCAAGATTCAAGAACCTAGAATTTTCCAAACTCAAAGCTACCAATGCAGAGTTATATGCTCTTTGCGGTTAATTTGGTTGTTTGTAACTTAAAAATATCCATGGTTTACTATCCAAGACAATTGAAAGACCGAGCGTGATTTTTTGGGTGAAAAGGGTTTAGCCAGAAAAAAATGTAATTGTACTGTATTTCCTTATGGAGCCATATTTGATCTCATAGTGTAACCTTATTGGATCACACAAGTTGCTGGAGTCAAAAACAGAAAGAATGGTATGGATAGGCAAATGCTGAATATCTTTAGGGTTTGATGGACTGATCAAAAGTCAAAGACTTGGGATTTCATTTCATTAATGCCTATAAACATCTTCGATATGTTGCTGATGAAGCCAGAAATTTATGGTATGTGAAGTTTTAAGAAGAGAAGGTTTGTACCGGAATCAACGTATGCAAAGCATTTGACTTGGAGGGTTGTAATGTTTATAAAGCCACATAACGGAGTGAAATCATCACATTTTGTGCAATCCGGTGAGTCCCATTTGAGCCATAGGTCTTGATCGTTGAGCTCAACGGCCGAAAGGTGAAGAAACTGATAGATAAGGAAACTTATTAGTTAAGGAAACATGTATATTTCTCATTCATTGTCGAACGTTATACTCTGTGTATATATTCATAATCAATCAATAGAGGAAGGGCATCGATCGTGCTCAACACCATTCAACATGGTATCAGAGCTTCAGTCGATTCATGGGTTTAGCTTTCTCTATAAGCTAGTTTTCTTCTCTATCTCTGGATTTAGGGACTCCAAGTTTCTGCCTTTCATCCTTCTA